CACAAACTCTGAAATTTTGGCAATTTTTTCGAGACTCGAATTCTCCCTGTTAGTGGTTGATGAAATGTGGCGGGGGGTGGAGGGTGTGCCATAAAAACTAGAATGGAACCACGTTCGTATTTGTTCCTTCCCACAATTACTGACTCGCTTATCGAAAATCAAGTTTAGGTGCCATCGATCACCTGCAAGAACATTTTCGCTTTTGTTCTGACCGGTTGAACTTGGTGTTTCTCATTTTACTCGGTGAACATGTATCACCATTGCTGGACACCACGAACCTAGATTGGCCTTTGAATTCGAAACCGTTCTTCAGGAAAGTCGAACTGGTTTTTTACAGTTTCACGTCCACATAGGTGGTATTTGACTTATTCTTACCGATCGATGGAGTTCTGAATGAGGTCACCTCTTCCGGAACTAAACTGCCGCCGTTTTAAACAGGCAAAGGTTTCCGTTTACCTGAAAGAGCTCTCTCCGTAATTCACACGCCACAGGTGAAACTGAGCACACACAAGTCACGCTACAACTCTGAAAATTCTTGCATACAGGTCGCTTTTTGGAGCGGCAAATTTATCACAGTCAGACGTTGATGTTACCGAAAGTTAGGTAGATCACGGAAACTACTCTCTTGGGAAGCGGTACGTCAGTAGTCACGAAATTTTTAGAAACATTTACGGCTATTCTGTTCGGCACGTTTCAATTATTTCAGTTATTTTTTAAAGTAATAATTTTTAATTGTTCGGCAAGATGATCATTTGTATAAAAGCCTGTGCGTACGTCTCAACCGATTGGAGTTTTTTGTGGATGGACAACGTATCTCGAAAGTTCAGCACGCAACAGGCTTTCGATTTCATCTTCAAGATGTGGAACAAAGGACAAACGCTGTGGCGTTCCATTCAGCGAAAATTTAGCGAGTGCAAAACGATTGTCTGTCGAAAAGTAGGATCTCCTAAAGGTTTCTAATGTGACCTTGCGCTGAGCTTCAACCGATGCCTTACGATATTCAAGATGAACAACAATTTTTTCCGCATGACACTACTGAATAAACCAGTGGAATCTCCTAACAGCTCAACACAGGCTTCGAAGTTGCACCTGAGTCTTTGCAAGCCGGGTTCAAGGTGAGATTGCCCGAACCTCAGAGACCTGACACTGAGGCCCATAGAGGGCTGTTCATGAGTTCCGATCGACCTGGTGTCGTATCACGATACTGTCCAAAATGCTTGTCCTCTCTATAAAGGAACCTACTCACAAGGTTGATGAAAACTCTTCGACAGCCCACAACTGTTTTAACCTTTCTTGGGGTTCATCTGGTAGGCGCGCAGTCCCCGAGTTTCCGTCAACCTTATGTTCTACCTAAACGCAAATTGGACTGTTTTCGAGAAATACACTCATTTTCAAATCAATTTGGTTCGCACGAGAGACTCAACTGAATCTCTCGTTTGTGATATTCTACAACTGAATGTGCTGCACACAGGCCGCCTCGTGATTCAGTTGGCACGATATTCGAGATATCGCAGTATGTATTTTCATAAAGGGAACTACTCGCAAGGTTGCTGAAAACTCTTCGACAACCCACGACTGGTTTCGCCCTTCTTGGGGCTTGTCTTGTCTAGTTCCGCTTGTCGTGTGCGAGTTGATTGGTGGTTGAAAGTAAGCTCCTAATCCCATCCACCACACGGGTTTGGCAGGCGACTGATGAAAAACATCAAAGCACAATGTGAGGTGGTCACATGCAGTCACTTTTTTCCCGAACACACGTTTTCATTCGATAAAAAACATTTCTGTAAGGCATCGCACACTTGCGTTTGAAACATCTGTGTATGATTCTAAAAACTTGTCTCATGCTCATCAGACTAGAGAGTTTAGATCTTCAACGTGATCACTGTGCAGATGACGTCGGTTTTTTCACTGTTTTGAATTCGGGAGAAGGACGAAAATGGTGTTTTTTTAAGTAAACACTTTTTACTCTATACATCTGTGAATTGACGGCTGAGTGAGCACACATCAGTCAGCCAGAAAAGGGTCGAAATGACCGATCGATACATACACACATACAGGATTTCAAGGTTTGTCTGAGAGCATGAGTAGAGCCTACAATCACAACAATTTTTCCAACGATTCTGAAGGAGTAGGCCTAGTCTATACTGAAAAGCCGATACGTACTGTATAGTCCTTTCAGCCTTACTGAGACTCCTCAACAGTGCCCACCTCACGAAACTCCAGGGGGTTTCGACCATGTGACCTACCGGTTCGAATACATGACCATTCTGTTAGAAGTAACTGCTCAGCTATTCACACAGTTGTCCTTTATCAGATGCGGCCCTTGGGCTTTGGGATTATCGATCTTCACTAGGTATCTTAATGATTCTAATAACAGACTTGTTATTCTAACTCCAGTGACCTTGAAGGTGACAAGATTCAAAGATAATCGAACCAGCGATTTGCCGCGTGAAGTTGCGCTGAGTTTTTGTCACTTTGGCCGCCAGTATTGTCTCATTAATGTTTCCTCAAGTCAGAGCGCTGTGAACAGAAGAGATTGACCGAAAGGCAGCTCAAATCTAGGTTGCCAACAGACTTCAAGAAATAGGATACCCAGTGAGTTTGATTAGGCGTCAACTAAGAGAGATATTGACTTCGGTAAGGAATGGATTGGCACAGCAGTCATTCCGTGCAAAGCAGGAAGTTATTCGAAGACTGTTGAACATAGCCAACATTCGAGTAGCTTTTCAGAAAGGAAAAACGCTACGCTCAGTTTTGTTGCACTTGAAAGATCCCCTATCGATTGAAAGGACCAGGGACTGCGTGCATAAAATTGACTGCAACGATTGAACCAAGGACAAACCGCCAGGGAATCGCACACCAGAATTGGTGAGCACAAAACGAGGATATGTAAGGCACCAAGGAATGCGGAAGAATGTCAAACGCTTGTCAAAGACTCAGCGATGGCGGACATACCTTAGACACGGGACGTAAAAGAAATCTGAGGATTGTGGAAGATTTAAAGCGGCGGACACTGCGATTCACACCACAGTGGCTGATAGCCGGGGCGGTGGGAATCACCAAGCCTTACAGCGTGAACAGAATTGAGGGTGTGGAACTAGCGAGCATATGGAAGGCGGTCTAAGATAAGCCGAGTTGACCCGTGACTGTGCGTGGGTGTCAGTTGAAGTAAATTCATCTATTTCTTTCCCATGATTTTGCCTTCTAAGTTATCAGCATGTCCAGAAGGGAAAAGGTGTCTTTCGTCAAGAATATAACGCATGCTTTTCGGGTGAATAGTTTTCACGTGGGTAAACGATAGTAGGGTGAGGGGCTTTGGTAAGCTATAAGTAGCTCCGAGGAAGAATAATGTTATTCAGAAGGGTGAAACTACTCTCAGAGAAGTTGTCACAATGTGACCATGTGATCTGAATACCGTGATTGAAGAACGAGGGCCGCTAAATTCTGCGCAAGTCAATCCCTGGGTGAATCAGTCGTTAGTGGACTAAAGCTACAAACTAGTATAGGTCGTGGGTTCGAGATTCCCTACAGTGGTTCTGTGGGATGAACACTACCAACGACTTCTCAGTCCCACATGCCATCGGTTGTGATGTCGACTTTTTGGTTCACCAACGGATCATCTCTTATCGAGGGATCTGCTTTCCTCGATCCGCTAAGGCTGTTATTGGACTGGGACTTCCTAAGGTCGCAGTCAGTGACTTGTGTTTGCTTGCCATTGTGGGCTCCCTGCGTACTTATGACACTTTTATGCGTGGCACATGGCGTTGAAGGTACATTTTTGCCATTTAATCTCACCCCAGACCCAGTATGACGGTCACTTTGTGTCTGATGTGCGAGTCTTAACTGTGCTAGCGCACACTGCGCCTTGAAGAGCATTCACCATTTAGCGAATATACACTCATTTGCAAACTAATTTGGTTCTTTCGAGAGACTCACTTGGAACCCAGCTGAATCTCTCGTTTATGATGTTCTCGAATATTAAACCAACTTTGGTGGACTTTGTGCAGCACATTCGGTTGAAAAATATCATAAGGGAGAGTGATTCAGCTGGGATTCAGTTGAGTTTCTCGTTCGGAAGAAACCGATGCGCAACTGAGTGTGTTTGGAGAGGCTATAAGGGCTGTAAGGGGCTATCCGAAATTTACCACTAAACTTTTGATTTCAATATATCAACATGAAGTAGCCTTTAAATGACAGATTCAACCAAGGTTCCGCTGGGAACCCCCGTTAACCTGAAAACACCTGCTCATGTAAATAAATAAATAAACAAATAAACAGCGGCTTTCTTTGTAATACACTACTCATAAGGTTGCTGTAGTAGTACATTACAAAGATATCCGCGATATCTCGAATATCGCAGCGACTGAAACATGAGGCGGCCTGGCGCAGCACATTCAGTTGCCTGAGAACATCATAAATGAGAGATTCAGCTGGGTTCCAGGTGAGTCCCTCGAAAGAACCAAATTAGTTTGCAAATGAGTGCATTTTCGCTAATTTCGTGCAATCTGGTTTCAAGTAGAACAAAAGGTTGACAGAAACCCGGGGACTGCGCATACCTGATGAGCCCCAAGAAGGGCGAAACCGGTCGTGGGCTGTCGATGGATTTTCGGCAACCTTATAAGTAGTATATTACAAAGCATTCACCATTGTTTGTCCTTTCTTCGGTTGTTGGTCTTTAGCCGCATGTTTCCTTATCAAAATCTTTACATACTTTGGGATTCATCTCATCAGACTGGAACTCTTCTTGGCATGATTTCGAATGAGACGTTTCTGTCCTTTCTCCCATATTCTTCTGTTACTCTTTTGCATTCATTGCTTGCATTCACTTTAAGTTTGTGATCATGCTCTTCAAAAATAAATGATAACGAACAACAGTACGGTGCTTGTAGACTTTCCAATATAGATTAGCTTCGATTGAAGGACAAAGTTTCCATTGAAATGACCCACGTATTGCTGTACTCTCTTCTCAGGCAGAGGCCTTGACAAGACATCAACGTACTTACTCGTGAGAACGAAGGAGCAACTTGTTGATCCACAATGGATCTCGAAAACGCATTTTCTTGTATAGGGTAGCCTGTCACGCCAAAAAATAAGTCAGATTAAAGAGCGGAGGCCACTGAAGATCAAGAGTAAATTTCTCATCGTCAGTATCATCGTCGTTATCATCAGAGCACCATGAAGTTCATTCGTTTGTAAGTAAAGCCTCAAATTGGAAACAAGAGAAAGGATTGGATGAGAGAGTAACTCAGTACAAGCGTTTTAATGTACATGCACCCCGGACCGCCCAATCAGATAATGCGAAGGAAAGCTGACATCGATCAGTCGTGATATCTTGCAATTTCTCCAGCCATGTGCCGGGGGGTCACGGGGACCCCTGCCTAGAAGGCGTAACGCACCAACAACACCCAGACTCTTAGTAATCTCATTCACACCTTTCTTCTAAGTCCACCTTGCGGTTTCCGCCATTCCGAAGAAGGCACGAAGAACACTGCTCACCTCGGTAGATGGTGTTTCGGCATGCATAGCCCATGTCCAAGCAACCACAGTGGATGTTCCTGGACGGTTCGCGCAACTAAAGTACTTGTAATCATATCGGTACATATTCCGACGCCAGCAACACTTCTTGGACACCGGCTTATACCACAGCTGTTACCTTCCGCACTAGTAATCTTTTCGGCTGGACTCAGCGTTTAGGCGCTGGTCATCACCCCAGGGTCTAGACATCTACCGATGTGGCGGAAAACTCTTGTACTTGATTGAACCACTCCATGTATGTCTCCAGATACTGAGTGGTTTTAACTTGCTGTAACAAGCGTGTACAAGGCCCCCCAGCTAACGACTTCTTCCCAGGTTGCAGTGAAACTACACTCTGTCAAAAAGTACATTCCAAAGTTTCACTTAATCTTTAACCGCGCACCTAGAATTTCTGTCATACAGTATACTCACGTGTATGTATATATATGTATATTAATACGCTTTTGAAGTATGTATTTCGCATGTATTTTGCGTAGGATTTGACAGAAATCCCAAATTGGCCGAACAAAATTTTTAGTCAAACCTCAAGGTCAAATCTCCTTTGTACATACATACAAATGTGGAAGCAGAGTTGAAATTTCCTGGAAGCACTTACAGACGTGAATCACAGAGCCCAACTGCGTATCGATTTTCTCGACATTGTAATCAATACGAGTGCTTTGTGTCGCTCATTGTCTGGATGCGGAAGGCCACAAGTTTGTAACGTTGTGCTGTTGAAGAGCTTTCAGCAACCTTATGAGTAATTTGTTACGTTTTATGCAATACATCGCGATATCTCGAATATCCTACCGTTGTGGACCACAGTACCGTGAACCCTGATCTGGATAGCCGATCGATAGCCTGGTGAGCCTGGCCAAGCCAGAAGAAATCAATGAACGCGCGGGTCAACTGATCTATCGATCCCTGTCGCAGAAAAGCGGGTCAAAAAGAAGAGAAGCTAAGAATACAACTCATCTGTCAAGGGCGAGTGAAGAGTAACCAACGAAATCTGTCTCAACTAAAAACGATTATTCCATTGGCTGTTATGTAGTCCCGTTATGTTCAGAGCTTGTTCTCCTAAAACTTATCAAGTGAATCTTTAGGCAGCCTGGTGCAGGGTATGCAGTTGAGCAAAAGCCTCCCAAGCGAGATATTCAGCGGAATTCCAGGTGAGTCTCCCGTCAAAACCCACCTTGTGTGCAGATGAGTATACTTCTCTAGTTTAGTGCAATTTGGTCCGAACGGATGGAAACTTTGGGCCTGAGCCTGTCTGATAGGCCTTAGGAAGAAAGAAACCGGTCGTGCGCTGTCGAAGGGCCTTCAGCAACCTTATGAGTAGTATATTTCCTCTATGAAGTTTTCTGATCTCTATCAGCGAGCACCATCATAAAATGCCGATTTCATTACGTTGCGTTTGGGTAAAATTCTCCCTATAAGGCTGACATTTGGCGGGAGAAGAATTGTCCTAGGTCATCGTTGCACCGGCACGGAACCTTCTAGACTGGAAGTCGAAACTGTACGGCACATTTCGAAGAATCCAACGCGTTTTCCCTCTCGAGATTTTACATAAACTTGGAATGGTTTTTGTTGTACGCAACACCTCCACACATTGCGTCTACTGAGTAGGCCTATGAAGATTCAAGTTATCCTAAGATGGCGACGGTGCTCACCTACTTGTTGAAACAATACCCGGTTAACCCGACATTATTTGGTTTTTATTTTTCAGAAACATACAAGTAGCTGATCACCGACAGCTGTAAATTGAGAACTCCCACAAGCCCCCCCCCCCCGTTTTATCAGAATCTACCCCTCCTTTCTGAAAGATATTCTGAAATGCAAAAACTCTTCTCAAGTACCATTAACAAGTCACGCTTTCTGCAAAATCAGTTGTTCATCATTTATCATAAATTTCTCTCCAGGTTGCTGTAAGTAGGTTGTGATACATATCCTCAAAGAGCAGGGCACGTCGAAGTCCGCTAAGAAAATCCTTCTCAGGGGAATTCTGCCTCATGAGAAGCAAAGCGTTTAAGCTGCTCACAAACTCGCATGAAATAGTACATATTTGGTTAGCCTAGTTGATACCAACTTTGATGTGTATATACACCGCGGTGAATGGGAGACAGAAAACACCGACCAGGATGAATGAAAACACAAATTTCGCAGCAAATGTTTGATGGCACCAAAATTCGATATTGCCGACCAATTCAGTGGAGTTGGGGAAGAACACATTAGACGGTAAATCATTCGTAACTCTCTACAATTCAGGTAATACTATGTCGTTAAAAATCGGTCTGAATTCCGACGTCACTTTTTTCCGAAACGCAAATAAGAGACATGACGTCAGTGTTTTCTTCTGTAACATTGTATATTTGCCTGCGTCTAAAGGAAATGCTATTTTTAATAACATTCTGATGTCGAGTTAATTGGAACAGCATCCCACGACTGCTTTTGTTAAAAAAACACGTTAGACCATTTTCGTTTTTCTTCTCCTTGGACTGTGTGCGTAACCGATGGTGGTTCATGAAATCCGGACACACCGGCTTAATTAGAAGCAATTCGCAAAAATTCCCCCAATAGATCTACCCCGTCGACCGGATGATCTCCTTTCAGTTTGTCCCAAAATCCCACCTTACATCAGTTCAGCAACAGTAATTAATGGCCAGTTATCAAGATAACCAGCTTTACTGTTCAGCGTTTCACTAACTGGTCAGACAGGTCCGTGTGTTTATCATGGTGAGTTACGTGAGCTCAAATTGTGTGATCCTGGGATTTATTCAATTGGACCATTTCCTGCAAAGGCAGGGCCGGTCGTTTCATCGTCTGCACCACTGGTTGACGGGTGCTTTCCACTGCACTCACGCTCACTAGTCAGTCTTGACGTTTTCAATCAGTGATCGGCTATAACCTTCAGCGCGTGTTCCTATTGGTCAATCCGATGTCGCTTCGCATGACGAACACGTGTGCAACTTTGATCGACCTAAACACACTGCCAGTCAGTCATGCGTCATTTATTGTCTTGTGAGTGTTAAAACAGTTCACTTTTGAGGATCCTGCCACATGTGATGTGGCCAGTTTACTTCAGTCCGCTCTTGAATAGGTCCCGTCTGTAAACCACATGATCCGTCAAGAAACCATTTGGCTTGATGAAATTTCTCCTACCATCTGAATTCCTATGAAGATGAAAAATTAAGCAGGCACCGATAACCGATGCAGCAAGCTCTTATAATTTTTCGTAATCATTATCTGAAAAAAGCCGGATTTTATTAAAGGATAGTTACACTTGTTTCATCTCAGTGTGCCACAGGAAGATGCCTACCGGTGGTCAATAGAGCACAACTAGGCATTGTGATTGGTTGAGGAACAGCCTGCGACAGCTATGACTGGTCCGGACTCATGCAGACTGTGATTGGCTGTTAGGCAGCTGGAAGACAAGAACCAATGGGAGATGAGCCTCGCGAAATGGGATTATCTGATTCGTTTCATGACCTGGTAAATATAAGATTTCGTGACGAATTCTCATTCTTCAAATCAGTGTGTGCGTTTGACCTCTCGTAAAGTGAACAAGGTCCTCAGATACATCGTATACATGATGGAATCGAGGAGCCACTGTGTGATGGGCTACAGGGTGCCCCACAGGACATCAGAGACAAATGGTATTTAATTGCGTGAGGAGATGTAAAAAGTTGTAATGGAGATTCATCCTGTGAGTAAAGTCATTCTATGCTAAAAAAAAATCAAGAAGCACTGTACAGCATGATCACATGTAGTCAGATGAATTGGTTTCTGTGGCTGAAGGATGAGTGTTGTCATATCATTTCTAGGGATGCGAGTTAATCCCAATACCTTTCAGGTTCCCGTTGCCGAACTGTTAGATGTTTGAACTTCTCACAGCCGGGAGGTTACCGGTTCGAAACTCTCCAGCAGAATGATCCCCAATAAGAATGAAACATCTGTACCATGCTTCTCGGCTCTCCAGCATCGATTGGATTCACTTAAAGTTCAAAATCGCACTTGAAAATTTTTCAGATTTTCTCTTTACTAACACCACAATGTAAAGAAAATTATTTTTGGTCCTCAGTCGCCTTTAGTATAGATTTCTTGATATTCAGAGCAACTGACATCGTTTTTGCCGACATCTGCTAGCCACTAAATGGATGAACAGACTTTAAGCGTAGCTCCCCGTCCAGCTTGCGACATAATCAGGCGTGGAAATCTCCTGGGGTATGGGTTGGAACAGCTACCACTGCGAAAAAAACGTGTATGGCAGTTTTAAACCTCAACATATTCGGCTTATCAACTCGGTTTCTAACGGGAGGTGAACCACCCTGGAAAGTCGTAAAATCTGGGGAGAAGGGGGGAGATGTGAAGTGATGCCCTTGTTCGGTTGACTGAATGCGTAACGAAATTAGTGCTGTGTTTCGCTTCATGGCGTAAAATACTTCCGCGTCCAATGACCACCTACTTGACGTCAGAGTCGAGGGAACGAATACCTATTTCGCATTTTTTTTCAAAAGTTCGGCAGCGCTCTCGCCTATGATACACACCCTGTCAACTTATTTT